CTCCTTTCCACCGATGCAGAAAAGGCATTTGACAGGGTGGCATGGGATTTTCTCCTCGCCACCCTGTCCCACCTTGGTCTGGGGGTCCGGATGCTGGAGTGGATATCGGCATTCTACGCCAATCCCACGGCACGAATTCGTATCAACGGCTCCCTATCCCCATCATTCACCCTCCACAATGGTATTCGACAGGGGTGTCCCCTATCCCCCTTATTGTTCGCCATCTCATTAGAGCCCCTGTTAGCCACCATAAGACAGAACACCGACATCCAGGGTATCCCAACCCCAGAGGGCAAATTCAAATTAGCGGCGTACGCGGACGATGTCCTGTTCTATGTCCGTAACCCACGTATATCTCTCCCACAAATATTAGCTTCATTAGACCAATATGGCTCCCTCTCAAACTTCAAAATTAACATGAGTAAATCTGAAATCCTTAATCTGAACGAGGCGGAGGAGGACGTTTGGGCCCTCCTCCCCCATTTTTCCTTCCAATGGCGCCCCCATTCCATACGATACATGGGCATCCACTTGACACGTAAACTCTCAGACCTCTACCATAGTAACTTTATACCTTTACTGAACTTAGTAAAAACAGATCTGACCTCCTTTTCCTTACGTACACTGCCCTGGGTGGGGAGGATAAACGCTGTAAAGATGATGATTCTCCCTAAAGTCCTGTTCCTGTTCCAAATGCTCCCCATAGAACTACCAGGTGCGTACTTCAGGACCCTCGCCAGAATCACGTCTACCTACATCTGGCAGAACCGCGCCCCCAGGATCGCGGGCAAGATAATGGTTAGGACCAGGCGGAACGGGGGGTTGGCCCTCCCAGACTTCCGGGTCTACCACGTAGCGGCCCAGATGGTAAGAGTGGTGGACTGGGTCTATGGGGGCGCGAGTAAGAGTTGGGTGTCCCTGGAGACCGCGGCTTGTGGGGCCCCTCTGGGGGAGGCGATATGGTTGCCCCCTGAATGGAGGCCATTTGCCTCTACTATGTTACCCCTCACTTCCTCAACGTTGCGCTCTTGGGATCGCCTACACCGCAGGTTCCGTTGGCCACACAACTCTGGCCTTATGCCTTTGCAGGGCTCTGACTTCTTCCCCCCAGGGAGAGTGGACAGATCCTTCGCGCAATGGTCAGATTCATCCACGCTTAAATTGGGTGAAGTGTTGAAAGGCACCTCTTTAACACCACTGCTAACTCTGAGGGCCAAGTGGGGCAAGGTACCACTGGATTCCTGGAAACACCGCCAGCTGTCCCACTTTATAAGTTCCCTCCCAAAACCTCTAAGAACGCCCCGAGAATATACCTTCATGGAATCTATTCTGAGCTCTGAATCGGTGCCCACTCATTGCCTCTCTTACTTCTATAAAGCCATCCTCACCGAGGAACATGTTGCACCCCCGCCCTACCTACGCAAGTGGGAGACGGACTTTTCCCGCACTCTTACTCTTGAGGAAAGATCTAAAGTACTGTCACTGGTTACTACCTCCTCCATAGACGTCCCCACGTTGGAAACTAACTATAAGTTATTATCAAGGTGGTAATCCAGGTTCCTATGCCCATATTTGGTGGGAATGCCCATTGATCATACCTTTTTGGAAACAGGTGATTCAGCTTATTAACCATATCTGTGGTGAGCAGCTTCCGAGAGATCCTTGGGTGGTTTTGTTTCACCTTACCACTGATTCCCTGCGAACCTACCGGAAATCCGTGGTCCCCTGCCTGTTGAATGTGGCCGAGTCTCTCATACCGAGATGCTGGGGATCTGCCAATGTTCCCTCCATGCAGGACTGGTTCCGGAAAGTGGATAACATCAAACTGATGGAGGAATTGTTATACACCTCCAAGGACTCGTACTCTACATTCTATAAAAAATGGGCGTGCTGGTTGGCCTTCCAGGACTCTGCTACTTACCGTTCTCACTTGCTCGACATAGAGGTATGATCTGAGATGGTCAACGAGGATATGAGCCTCGCCCTGGTGAAAGCTGATATGTACCTACTCCTGAGAGGATAACACGTCTGGGGGTCCTAGGTTTATCCGTATTGTTCACTTGTATTGTATTTATATGTTTATTTTGTGGCTACACAGCCATACGCAAAGGACAACACACAGCCTGACCATACACTGTGATATTGCGCACAACCGGATAACGCTTAAGTATTGAACTTTCATGTATATAGCAGCTAAGGAACCTTAGAGCAAGTTCACTAACACCCCTCCTTACCCCACCCTGTCTTGTCCTCCCCCCCAATCCTTCCCCCCTCCCCGCGTCATTTTCTTCCCCCTTGTTAGTGTCTGTCCGACACGCGGGGCATTGACTCACTAAATACTGTTATATATTGATTGCACTGATAATCTACCCCCTGTTATTGTATTGTGGTTTTTTTTGTATGTTTCCTGAAAAATCCAATAAGGCGAAATAATAAAAAAAAAGGAGAACTATGGGGTTAAGTCTTTTCCCCATAGTTCTCCTTAGGGTAACGGGAGGACACAAACTCTGCCGACCTGTGACAGTCTCATTGTCACAGGTCGGCTAGAACTATGAGGTGAGTGAAAAGCACTCACCTCATAGTTCTCCTTTCAAGACTTTCAGCACAAGTGTGAATGGTGCCTTAACATGATACACTCTGAGGCAGAGGCATAACTAGTGACCTCAGGGCCCCGATGCAAGAATCCATGAAGGGCCCCCCCAGGAAGTAAAAAATTAGATACATTTTGTTTTAAAACATATTTTAGACACAAAAAAAACCCACAATCTCCTCTTTCATGTCTCTAGCTCCCCATTATCTCCCCCTTCATGTCTCCAGCTTTCCGCTCCCGGACCCCACACTCTTCTCTTCCATGTCCCCTTCATAGTCCCATCTCCCTATATCTCCCCCTTCGTGTCCGCAGCAGCTCTCTATTCGGCAGCGTTCTGTGTGATGAGGGAGCGGGGATAACACCAGTTCCCACTCATTGGCTGCTGCGCCGGCTGGATCATAGTTCACGCTGCGCCCGGAACAAGGTGAGGGGAGCAGTGTGAAGCATGTAGGGCCCAGGACTGGAGGAAGAGGTCCCGGGACTGAAATTAGCGGTTACCGGGATAATAAATATCCTGGTAATTAGAGGTTACCAGGGGCCCCTTCCTCCTGTCCTAGGCCCCTCCAAATGGCGGAACTCCAGAGGACAACACATACAGGAACAGCTATTGAATTCAAGATCACACTATAGCACACCCTATGGACATCAATCTAAAAGGCAGCCACAGAGTGGAACAGTCAGGACATTTGTCCCTATAAATAAAGTATTTACATTATATTTTAACACTCACCCTTGTATGATTTGAATGCAGTGCATAGACACTGAGCTTCTTCTGCCACTCTCTCCTCCACAGACTTCTTCCCCATTCCAAAGTTTCTCAGTGTGGTCAGTGTGAACCTTCTTTGCTCTCTCCAGGATTTTCCATATCCAATAACTACCAGTCCTAAGGAGTTACAGTATAGGACATGAGTTAGTACCTCATGGCAGTTGAAGCTGAACTCTAGACAGATATAAAAGATACATATGAATGCAGTTCTGTATGCATTAATGCATTCTTAAATGTATTTTTTCAAATACAAGCAGTGTCTCGACTCCTACCAACCGGTAATAGCATGTAGAGAAGTAAACCTGATCTGCCTACCGATGTCATATTTCCTATAGCACTTGGCAGAAAGTAAGGTGATTAAGTATGTTATGTTTAGTCAGTTAGTGGTACCCTATGGCCGACCACTGATGGTCACATGCAGGATCTGTGTTTTTCCCTTTCACCCTTAACCCCCTTCACTTCCCTCCTACCCTCCCTCCCTCCCAGGTTCCTTCCCTAGTCCCCCCTGATAGGGTAATTGACGTCATTGATCACGGACAGCCAGAAAAACCTTGGTAAACATGTATAAGTTGCGCCAGATGGCACTCCGCTAACTGCTTACTCCGGCCTGTACTGTCTCTGATTGTTTGACCCTAATATCCTTGTTTTTGCTGTTTTCTCTGTCATAAATATCTGAAAACCTTGAAATAAAGATTACATTAAAAAAAATACAAGCAGTGCAATTACCTGTAAGTACTACCAATATTACAGAGCCAGAAAAAGTATAATTAGAATTAGGGTTAAATAATATTTTTTGTGCCCAGCCCCATGAGGTGCGGCAGTACTAACCTGCTGTGTCGTCTTCTCCGTCTGCTTAAGCCACTCCGTGTCAGGAGGAGTTTGCGGCCATGTTGCTTCATTGAAGACGCGATGCAGGTCCTGTGTGCGGCGGATTCGGGTCCCTGAAGATGGCGGATGCGGCACAGGTACTCGTTTTTTGTATCGGAGTATTTGCACGAGTACGAGTACTCATGCAAATATTCGGTATCGCCGCCGATACCGATGCTTGTATCGGTATCGTTGCATCCCTAATTAGAATCATTTTTGTTACATGGTTTATATTTAAATTAAACTATGTCTACTCATTGTTTAGTATTTTCAATATTTAATCACTCTGAAAGTGACTGCAGTGCAATGAAAAAACTCCATTTGTGGCAATCACCACATCATCTTCAGAAACAATTAAACAGTTATGGGAATGGGTGACCATATAACAATAGTACAACCAACATTATTTGCTAAATTAGTGACATCAATTTATTAAACATACAGTATATACTATCATGTCAGGATCAGAGAATGAGTGGTAAAAAAAACGTTGTATTCTCCAGTTCCATACAATGTACCATCTAAAAATATCAATACAATTATTAGGAGACATTGATATACGTACCTGAGTCAGCTTGCTGACATCAGAATTTCCATCGTAATTATACATTTGGGATTATTTAAAGAAGAACTACGGGGGGAAAAAATCAGCCTACTGTAACTAGCTTTTGGAAGTATTAGAAATATGTGCTTACCGTTTTACATAACAATGTAGTCTTCCAGAAATCCATGGTACAAGCCTGTGCTTCCTGCCCTCTGCCTCCTTCATTTCCTTTCTGTTAGACTGCACAGTGGCTAGTAGTCTATCAACCTAGCCAGTAAACTAATAACCTTCCCTCTGTGTACTGTGTTCTACTAGAGACTCATATGATTATTTGATTCAGTGTACTGTGTTCTACCGGAGACTCATATGATTCTTTGATTCAGTGTACTGTGTTCTACTGGAGACTCATATGATTCTTTTATTCAGTGTACTGTGTTCTACCGGAGACTCATATGATTCTTTGATTCAGTGTACTGTGTTCTACTGGAGACTCATATGATTCTTTGTACTGGTGTACTATTGACTCTCAGTGTACTGTTAGCTCTCTGATTGGTTGCTGGGAGGGGTGGAGGTCTCTCACTCTAGGATCATATTACGAGAGCGGCTCTCCTTTTGATTCAACACTGAACCCTTTCAAATTAATCAGTTATCAGTTCAGTCAGATGAATCATTTCATAAAGTTTACTGAAAAGAATGAATTCAAAAGAACAATTAATTCATGAACTGGACATCACTATTCCACACAGCTAGATGCTCTGCTGGACTGTTAAGAGGAGGTAGGATGACTTCAAAACAGGGGAATTTGTCATGCAGAGGCACCTCTAATGTATCTATCACATGTCTGCACTCAGCAAAAAAAAAAAAAGAAAGAAAACTAAACTCACTGGAGCATATACAGCACTTTGTAGCTCTTCCGATCTCCACCCTCAGCTCAATGCCTCATGGGGGGTGGGGTGTAGTCAGCTCTCTATGTCAGGATATGACACGCACTGGTTACCTAGATCCTCCCCCTGGCTGCAGGAAGAACTGATCTGTACATAGGAGGATGTGACATCACTGGCAGGTAGAAACAAGAATGATCAGAAAAGTAAGAACTTTTATGATAAATTGTAACAGCAGTTTGCTTCCTCTAAATGAGAGGGACCTAAATATATAAAGTGGTGTGCATCCTGGAGTTCTTCTTTAAGAGCAAATTATATTGGTTCAAAATTTTTAACTGATCAGTTAGTTTATTTATAATGAAAAATTGATTTTTTTCTATCTGCATTTCACATCCAATTCATAAAATGTGAGCCGTAGTGTATAGCCTGCATTGCCCCATGGAGTTCCCTCTGCTTAATGCAGCATGAAGAGCCTGTTGGGATTATGACAGGTCATATGGCCAGGCTCTTCTCCCAGGTTTTCTTCCTTTGCTCATTGATTTTTATTGATTTGTATTACACTTCACAGGGCTTGGACTCTTAAAGCCAGGAGATGTGGTAGGTTTTTTTTAAAGCAGCTAATTTTTCACCCCTTAATATTATAAATACAGCATACAGATACATTTTCCGTGCTTGAATTATCTGCACTGTAAGAATGTGTGGAAGTGCCAGGTCTTCAATATTTAGCAGTATAGATCTGATGTTTGAGAAACGGCTATTCCCACAGTGTACTTCAGGAAGAGACATTAGTCATATTTTGACTCATATTTAAATTTGTATCATGAAAAGAGGTCTGCAGAATTTGGCAATATATTTTATGTAAAATTATAAAACTTCCCCCATGCAGACCTCCATATTACTTTTGGGGTACAGGATAGGGTTTTTGGCCCCATTAACATGAGGACAAGGTGTTGTGTAAGAGGAGAGGCTTTGATGCCCACCATGCAAGGTACCCTCCCAATGTTGCGAGCATGTGGCCTGGTATGGTTCAGGAGGGGGGGCACATACTCCATGGCCCCCCTTTTCTGGCCACCCAGGGTTGCTTACCTTGATAAGGGTTTCTTATGAACCTTTAGGAGGAATGCTGTGCTGTGTATTGAATGCAAGGACGTCGAGATATATTCCATCACCGGAGCAAAGGGGGACAGTGGCTGCAGGACTGGTCTAGCAGCTATTCTGGTCTAAGGTTCGGGTGAGTATATCTTTGATATTTTGGACCCTAGACGAAAACGAGCACTTAGCCTTTGCAGTGCGGTTAAGTTTTCTTCTTCCCAGATTTCTTTTTTAAGGCATATTTTGTGGTCAGACGATTGTTGCATATGTGTGCTTTGTATGCAGTGAATAAGCTCAGGTTTTATGCCTATTTAGGACATTTTAACTTGATGTAGCTACATGTGCCATTCAGACACCGCAGCTTTTCTCTCTTCAGTGCACCTACGGGGGTTACTGTCTGTGTTATTATTAAGCTGAGATGTGTGCTTAACATATAATATTTACATTTTCCTTTTCTAACTAAGATAAAGGTATTTAGCTTCCCCACCTACAGTATACCCCCATCACCAGCACAGAACTAGCAAAACAATCGCCTGGAGCCACCCCTGTGTATGTAACCTGTACCAATGAACTTCTCTAATTTGCTATCTTTTAGTACGTTAAAGATACAAATGAAAGAGTTGTGTTATATCTTTTATTTAAGTTTAATAAATACCTTTTTAAGTCTGGCAAAAATTTTGTGACCTGATAACTTCCTGTTCTCTCTGCCTGTGCTGACTATTATAAGCTAGAATTGTTCTCAGCTAGCTATGTGGACTGCAAACATCTTCCTCTATGTTAAGGAGGGAAGGAAAAGATATTCTGTAGTCTTCCTATAGTGACAACGTTACTTCATACATACAATGAGTGAGCACTGTCACCCTAGGACAGGAAGTGTGTTACAAGCAGATTCATCAGTTGAAAATAAAGGAAAAAAATGCCTGAAAAAGAAAACGAATGCATTCACAACACCTAAGGCTTGGTAAGCTGCAATATATCCAATTTTTGTATTAATGTTTAGACATTCTTTGACCACTTCACTATTGGAGCTTTTAAAAAAAAACATTTTGCACACATCTGCTTTTTTAATTAGAAAACTAAAGCTCAGTGTCTCAGTGCCATCCACAACTCTGCCCCCGGCTATATCTCAAACATTGTCTCAAAGTATCACCCTAACTGTCCCCTCCGCTCTTCAAAAGACCTTCTGCTTTGAAGCTCCCTTGACAACTCCTCCCATGCTTGCCTCCAGGACTTCACTAGAGTCTCTCCCATCCTATGGAACTCTTTACCCCAACCTGTCCAACTATCTCCCACTCTGACTAGCTTTAGGCTATCCCTTAAGACTCATCTCTTCAGGGAAGCCTATCCCACCTCAACCTAACCACTGAACTATCACTTTCTCAAACAATTCATCCTCACACAGCTACCTCCTCATGTATCACTTGCCCCTCCCTTTTAGATTGTAAGCCCTCACAGACAGGGCCCTCCTTACCATCTTGTCTTGAATTGTATTGTGATTATAATGTCTTCCTTATATTGTAAAGCACTGCGTAAACTGTTGGCGCTATATAAATCCTGTATAATCATAATAAAACTCCTAAATATTATATATTTTCTGAATGCAGACCCTCTGTAGAATAAAAAAAATGGTAGTTGCAATTCTTTATGTTGTACAATATTTGCACAACTGTTTATCGAATCTGTATTTTCAAAAAGAAAATACACTAAAACAAAACACAGTTCCCATTTTTTGTACAAAATAAAAGAGAGGTGTCTGAAGCAGGATCCCCAGGTATTACTGTTTAAC